CTTAAAGGAGAACTTCCTGAACCTGAAAAAGAGCATCTACAAAAACCCTACAGTGAACACGATACTTAATGGGAAAAGACTGAAAACTTTCCCAATTTCAGAAACAAAGCAAGCATGCCTGTCCTCACCACTATCGTTCAATGTAGTATATATAGTGCTAAAAGTTCTAGTTAATGCAACAAGGTAAGAAAAGCAAATTAAAGCATACGAATCAGAAAGGAAGAAATAAACCTAACCTTATTTGTAGATGACATGAGTGTATACATAGAAAATCCCAAGGAATCTCCAGAAATAATCCCTTAGAACTAATCAGTGAGTTCAGCAAGCTCACAGGATACAAGATAAACATACAGAATTCAATTGTATTTCTCTATATTAGCAATAAGTGTATGGGCACCGAAATTGAAAACACAGTCCTATTTATAATCACTCAGAAAGTGTGCAGGGGTAAATCTAACAAAATATGTACAGGACATGTACACTGAAAAACTACATAATGATGATGAAGTAAATCAAAGAATTCTAAGTAAGTGGAGAGACATACTGTCCTCGTGAATTGGAAGAATCAGCATAGCAATGTTATAAATTCTCCTCAAATTGATATGCAAACATAATGCAATTCCTATCAAAACCCCAGCAAGTTTTTTTTTTGTAGACGTAGACAATTTTATACTAAAATGTATACAGAAAGGCAAAGAAACAATTTTGAAAAAGAACGAAAGGGGAGGAATCAATTTTATTTCAAGACTTATAGCCACAGTAGTCAAGGAAGAGAGATAAGTAGATAAATGGAACACAACAGAGAACCCAGAAATATGCCCAACTGATTTTTGACAAAGGTCAAAAGCAATGGAGAAAAGATAGCCTTTTCAACAGATGGTGTTGGAACAATTAGATATCTATGGGTAAAAATAACAACTTCATCCTAAGTGCCATAGTAAAAAGTAGACAAGGTCTAACCATTCTTCGAAGTGGCTGTGCCAATTTACACACCCACTAGACCTGCCTGAGGGTCCCCAGTGCTCCACATCCTGGCATATTCTTGGGAGTTTCAGTCTTTGTAATTTTAGACAGGAAAGTACTAAAGGAACTTACTTCCCCCAAAATGAGATCATAAGCCAAGACACAAGAGAAGAGGGGATCTAACAAAGGAAAGAGAATTCGAGGTGATAAAAGAAAAATGTCCCAGCATGTACATGACTAGTGTAGACAGACCACTTATAGATTGACGAGTCCAGATTAAAGCAGGACAGAGAGGCTCCATGGAACTGTCTCTAAGAAGAAAATAAAGCTGACAGAACATCTGATGAGTAGGATTACACTCAGGGTATATTTTCAGTTCTCTTGGGGACATTGGGGGTGAATTAGAGACAAGCACATAGGACACTAAACAAGCAATAAAACAAAAACAGTTAAGACTTTAGAATAAAAGACAAAGATCATACATAGTACATGGTTTATTTGACTATGTGGTTTGCACATATTTTCTCACGGTCGATAGTTTGTCTTTCATTCTTGTAACGGGTCATTTGTAGCACAAAAGTCAATTTTTGCTCATTATATTTTTGGTGTTACTCCAAGAACTCTTTGCCTAGCCTTAGATCCTAAAGATTTTCTCCAGTGTTTTTTTTCTAAAGATCGTATAAGTGGGTTTTTTTTATATTTAAATTAAATTAAAATTAAAATACATTAAAATTAAATTAAACCCCAGCCACAGCACAACAGAGTTGGTCACAGTAAATTGCTGGGATGTGCATTTACTCATGTGGGTGATGATTGGTCTTGGGCATTACCTGAGGCACTAGGTACTTACTGTAGCTTAAATAGATTTTCCCTGATTATAGAATCTTAATTCTTCAGTTGGAAAAAATCGTTGTGTGCTCTGTAGCAAGTACTGGGCTGTGGCTTTGAATTCAGAGCAGGCATACTTTAACAAGTATCTAGCGTGAGACACCATTTCAAATTTATTATGCAGACTTGGCGGTGGGTGCCTTGAGAATCTTGTTTCAGGCCTTTCTGTTCCATTCAAGGAGACTTACCTAGACCTGTCTGCTCCCCGCAAATTATCTCCTCCTTCCTCTTCCAGCGTTAGGTTGTTTTATCCCCACAGAGTGTGATGTGATAAGCTATTTACATGAGTGTAGCTAGTGGACTATTCGATGTGCTGCCTCTTTCCAGGGATCTGTTCATGCCAAACAGGCTGCACCTCATGTTGTTCAGCCAGGGCGGCAGGCAGCAATGGAGAGATTGGGAGAGAGAGCCATTCCCAGCCAGCACTGTTGTAAGTTCTGCGTGCATCTGTGAATAAGACAGACCCAGATCCTTCGCTTACACTCTGATGGGCGGAACAGAAGATAAACAGAATGAGTCCATCTCAGGGCATGTGAGAAGGTGGTAAATGCTATGGTCAGGGGAGAGAGCAGAGGAGAGTGAGGGGGATCCAGGGTGGGGCGGAGGGAGGGAGGGAATAGAGAAAGGCAAAAGTGGGACATCAGGGGGAATAGAGTGGATCTCTGGGGAAAGAGTTTCTACAGTTTAAGCGCCTGACATTAAGCTTTTGATTGTCAAGGTATTCATTTCAAAGACCTCCATCTCAAATAAACACATTGCCCAGAGTTACAAGCCACACAACAAATAAGGAGCCAGGCTGCCCCAGCCATGAAGTTTCCCTCCCTGCTGGGCGACCCAGATAACTGACCTCTTGAGTTATCCTGCTTTTCCCTTCCCATGCCCTAATTCCTGCTCTTAGGGTTTAAACTCACCAATAAAGAACAAACCCGTGAAGCCCTAAACACCCCACCCTGGACCCAGTAAAGGCAGAGCCCCAGGCCCCCTCTACCTTCACCCCCTATCATGACATCACTACATGGCCCTGGGTATGCTGTGTCCCCTCCAGGAACTGCAGCCAATAAGCTTTGTTTTGTCAAAGTTCCCTGACAGTTGTTGCTGAGGAGTGTTTTGCAATCATTTCAAGAACCACGGGGCTGGTCTAGCCACAAGTGTCTGTGGGGAGCTCATCACAGGTAGCGTGGGCCCAGGTGAGTGCCTCCAGGCATTCCTGATCAATAGCATCACTATCAATAGGCTGAGACCATCACAAAACAGTTCCCATTGCAAGAGCAATGACTGACTTCTCAGTCCTTCTTCATTTCATGGCATCTCTAGTTGGAGGAGAACCTGTCTGAGGGGTCTGTTAGGGAACAAAGTCCCCACAGCCTCAGCCCAGCCCTGGCCAGCCAGCAGGAAGGGGCCTTGCCCAAAGCACACATCTGGTGTGTGGGATTGAGGGGCCCAATCCCAGCTGTCCCTGAGTTCTGTGTGTTCTGTGGGTTAGCAGGACAGGCTGCCTCATACAAAGGGGGGACTTGTACTGAATGACCTGGCCCTGCACACCTCCTGTGCACCTCCACTGTGGAATGTTGTTATGGGTGATAGTGTTGTTAGGGCTCCCTCAGCTGGACTCCATGCTCAGGGTGGACTTCAACTCCGGAGACTGGAGACATCACTAAAAGCATTAAAAGCAAAAGCAACCTTCCCGACCTCCGGCCCATAGGTGAGGTGGCGGAGGCTCTTGGCAGTGGTTGGTGCGGGTATGGCTCTCCTCCTGCTGGCCTCCGCCCTCAGTTCTCCTCCTCCAGTCTGTCAGTCATCATTTTAGATCAAATTAAAAGAGCAGAAATTGAAGCATAAAGTAGGTAAAGGATAAATTAACTTGAGGTTTAAAAGATGAAAATTTGGCCCTGGACAATACCCTTGACCTATGGCTATCCCTTTTTATTTCACTTCCCTGGAAGTCTGTGTTAGTGAGCAGTTGGGTGTGTAGGTGACAGCAGCTAGGCGTGGAGGACTCAGCCAGCAATGGGAACAAGTCAGTGAGGGTGGGTGCCTAGGGCTGTGAGTTGCAGAAGGCAGTGACTTCTCATTTCTGCAGGCTGGCGATACCCGGTCCACTTCAGGCTGCAGGGGGGTGGGGGGGCAGGCGTGCTCTGAGGGTTTCCTCCTGGGCTCCAAGCTTTCAAAACACTTGAATTGCATTTTTTCCTTCCCTGGTTTTTAATTTTCCAAGACATGTTTATTTACACAGCATTTATTGAAATGCCACACCTTACACATTGTGAATCCTGTGCCTGTAACATGTGGTGGTTGCCCTCGGGGAGCACACAGGACATAAATAACTACAGCTAGATAAAATAAGTCTCCAGCAGATCTGGGGGTGGAGTGCACTGCCCAGAGAAGAAGCAAGCAGCTCCGGAGAGGGAAAACCAGACAAGGCCTCAAGGATGACATGGGAGTTGGGTCTTGACAGATGAGTAGGAGTTTGATAGGCCATGACATTATAGTCAGGAAATTGCTGACCCTGGGAGCAGAACATGCCAAGACACAGAGCTATGATAACATGTCTCCATACATAACTCAATAGGAGTAGCATTCTGTTCATTTCCTTTTGTTTTTAGTGTTTACTTTTAATTTATTTTTGAGAGAGAGAGAGCAGGAGAGAGGCAGAGAGAGAAAGAGTGACAGAATCCCAAGCAGGCTCTGCAATGTCAGCACACAGCCCGATGCAGGGCTCGAACTCACAAACCATGAGATCATAACCTGAGCCAAAATTAAGAGGAGTCGGACACTCAACTGACTGAGCCACCCAGGAGCCCTTCTGTTCATTTACTTTAATCTCTTTCTGTGACTCCTCTGTAACTGTCTGTTACTATCGCTTAGGTTTCCTCAAGCTAATTTTTTTCTTTTTCATTAATTGCTTTGAAAATCGGAATTTGAAGTTATTCCTCCTGGTGTGTGTGTGTGTGTGTGTGTGTGTGTGTGTGTGTGTGTGTTTCCATGGCTTTTGTCAAGATAAATCATTTGGCTTTATTACTTAAAGAAAACTGAACCAGGGTGCTCTGAACTGAGGCATTTTCACGTGATCTTAATTGTGTAGCTCAAGTGTACCCGCCAGGGCAGAATGCCGTTTTAATTGTGAGATCTGTCTGTGTTCCTCTGTCTAGATTAAGTTTGACAGTGTCGGGGTGTGTGTCTGCTGTGAAATGCAGCACCAGTCATCCGGCTGCAGCAACCTTGGGGAGACGCTGAAGCTGAATCCGCTGCAGGAGGACTGCAACGCCGTGAGGCTGACGTTGAAGGTGATGGCCAAGGGCACTGCTTATTCATGCATTCCATCCCATGCATTTACAGACATTTTAGGAGGGCTTTACTCATGTATCTATTCCTTCCACTTCTTAATTCATCTCTGTAGCTGAAATGCAAGAGGGAATATCTTTCCGGAGAACATTTTATAGGATTATAGATTTTCACTTTAAAGGTGTTGCTTTCTGGATCTCGTTTTCCATTTTTACCATTTCACTTTCCTGCCTCTGACATATGTGGAGTAGGATATGAATGGTTGAAACAGGTCTTTACAAATGTGGATGTGATGCATTCTACTGCTTTTCTAACATTTTTGCTGGTACACCATCGGGGAACAGATGGGCATTTATTTTGCCTTTTTAAAAGATATTTGGAGAAAGACATTTTACAATTTCCCACAGCAATCTATTCTTGTATACAGCATCTGATTTTTTTAAATGACATGGAAAATTGTTTATATTATTCCTTTCTTTTTCTTCCTGCAAGTTTTTTTTTTTCTCCTGAAAACCAGAATTGGCTGCTTAAAAATGCATATGAACAATGAACCCAGTTCTTCTCTTTTCCCTGGGTGAAAATGTGCTAAAACTTTTCTAAAAGGATGCAGCAAGGTCAAAGGAATGCTTTATGGTGATAAAATTGTATTTACAGTATGTAGGGAGCTCTAGAGTATGTCCATAGGGAACATAGTATGTGGGGAACTGGAGACTCGAAGAGTCACCCTGGAATCGGGGGAGAAAGGAGCAAAGTGTTGCCCTCTGGAATTGAGTACCTGGGTGTCATTCCAAATGCTGGCAACAATGACCTGTTGGTCTGGGCAAGCTCCCTATTAGTCCAGGGCACTGTGAAAACATGTGGCAAATGGGCAGTGACATAAGAGAGATAGGAAATGTGCCTAAAGTACAGGGTGGGACTGACTTCCTCTCGCAGAGTGGTTCCAGCAGCCCTCCAGAGTAACAGATCCAGGAGGCTCAGAGGAACCCAGACTGCAGCACTCAAGGGCCTGTCCTCTTACGTGCAAGGTGGTTCTTGCCACCTCACGTTGCATACAACCATGGTTTCTCTTACTATGGGCTTGCACAGGGTCAGTGTCTGAGACCCACCGTGGCCTTTCACAGCCCTCCTGGAATGGGGACATGGGCAGCTAGTGCTCACTCTGAGATCTCATTCTGACAACTCCTAAGTCACCTCCTGACTTTGTCTTTCCGTATTTAAAAAAAAAACAAAAACAAAAACAGGGGCGCCTGGGTGGCTCAGTCGGTTGAGCATCTGACTCTTGATTTCAGCTCAGATCACGATCTCACAGTTCATGGGATGGAGCCCTGCTTCAGGCTGTGGGCTGACCATGCAGGGCCTCCTTGGGATTCTGTCTCCCTCTCTCTCTCTGCCCTTCCCTGGCTGGCACTCTCTGTCTGTCCCTCAAACTAAATAAACATTTTTTTTTAACTTAAAAAAAATTTTTTTTAATTAAAAAATTTTTAAAGGGTATTTCTTGCTGCCTATAACAAGACAATAGGTAATTATAATTAAATTACAGTGCAGTCACTGCCCCCTGGAAGAGTGGACAAATCCCCCAGGGAATCTCGCAGTCTGGAGGCCACATGGGTGCGTGCATGCAGTTAAATAGCTATGTCATGTCCCACTCAGTTGATGGGCTAGAGGTATTTGGTCTGAAGTCCCAAGACCTTGGAGTCCTTTATGACACCTGTACTCAGTGGGACCCTCCCAGGACCTGTCTTCTTGACTCCCTATCCCCTGAGGAGTGGCTGTGGCCTGAAAGATGGTGCTGGAACAACAGTGCTCCCTCTAAGAAGGCCCAGGCTGGGCTGACAAGCCTGCAGTCCCACCCACCCTTTCCCAGTGCCCCTGGCTCTGGTGCCCTGATGAGGAAACCACTTGGGGGGGGGAGGGGATAACTACAATGAAACAAAGTGAAGGAGAGCTAAACAGTTCAAGTCAGTGCAGGGGAGTCTTCTCAAACGGCTCATCCCCATGGGTGTTCAAATTGCCCAAGACAATGGTGAGAGCTGAAGGCCTGAGAAAGACTACACCAAACTTCTGAATAAATTTGTTTTAAAAAAACTTCTCCGGGGGCGCCTGGGTGGCACAGTCGGTTAAGCGTCCGACTTCAGCCAGGTCACGATCTTGCGGTCCGTGAGTTCGAGCCCCGCGTCGGGCTCTGGACTGATGGCTCAGAGCCTGGAGCCTGTTTCCGATTCTGTGTCTCCCTCTCTCTCTGCCCCTCTCCCGTTCATGCTCGGTCTCTCTCTGTCCCAAAAATAAATAAACGTTGAAAAAAAAAAAAAAAAAAACTTCTCCGGATGTAGGAACTGTCAGAGCTGGTGGCATGAGGCTCACAATAAGGAGGATTTATGATTGAAAAAGAGGGAGCAGTGAGCAGCCTGCCCCCCAGCTGAGGGCCGGTAATGAGATCAATGGCCTTGAGTGTATAGGGTGGGGAGCTGAGTTTCATCTGGAATCTGGTAGATGAAAGACACTTGGAAGGGAGGGTCTGTTTACTGCTGTCCTCTAGCTTTGTTATTTTCCCAAATCATTTTGGCTATCCTAGTTCCTCTGCATTTCTCTGTAAATTTTGGAATCAGCTTATCAGTTTCTCCAGAAATCCTGCTGGGGTTTTGATTGGGGTGGCATTCGCTCTGTATCTCAGTTTGGAGAGAATCGACATATTCGTGATATAGCTCTCCATTTACTTAGGTCTTTAAACATTTTTTTTAATGTTTATTTTTTATTTTTTGAGAGACAAAGAGAGACAGAGTGTGAACCAGGGAGAGGCAGAGAGAGAGGGACACACAGAATCCAAAGCAGACTCCAGGTTCTGAGCTGTCAGC